GGGCCGGCGGCGGCGGGGCCTGGGGCTGGTCCTCTGGCCTTAACAGGGGCGTGAAGCTCCGGTGGCTCCATTTTCTAGAAAACCTCACAGTCCTGGGGAGACAGAACAGGGGACCAGAAGCCAGGGAAGGGCCCGCGGTCTGCCAGGCTCCACGGCTCAGGAAGGAGGATTCCTATTTTGAGGGGAGAGAAAAATGCCTGTGATTTCTAAAACACCACCTTTCTCTTTTACGCAGCTGTTTCTTCGATATGAATAAATGAGAAGCAGGACTGTCTTCACGTATCTATGTAGAAATGAAAATAGTGGCTTTTTAAAAAAGAGTCAAAAGTAGGCAGCACTTGGCCTCTGGAGGCCAGGCACAGGGTTGCAGAGAAAAGGTGCGCCCTGGGCAGCCTCTGGCGTTGCTGCCTGCGCTCGCTCGCCCTCCGTCTGAGTGTTTTCCAGAGGAAGGCAGTGTCCCGTCTGATCATTTCAGCCCAGCCAACCTGTTGTCCCCTCCCCCCAGCCGCTGGTGTGTTTGTTTTGAGACCTAATTATTGGCCTTGTGGGTGCCAATGTCCACCTGTTGTCATAATTCAACCCTATTATTACCCTTCTTTATGACTACTAGGTAGATATAACCCAGATCAGTCAAGACTTGCTAACTAGACTTAGGGCGATCTTCTCTCCCCCATTCCTGCCAAAATGCAGCATTCCGAAATAAGCTCCACTCTCTTTTGCCACCTCATTATGTGTAGAACTCAAATCAGCCTCCTGCCTTGGAGCTATGGGATTTACCCAAGAATGGCAGAGATGACACCCAGACCTAACTTTCCAGCTTCTGAATTGTTCACAGTTTGCATTACTCTCTAGAATTTTGCAACCCATGCTTTGTTGGAGCCCCGCTGCTTTAAACTTACTGAGAAACAGGTGTCCACACTATTTTCTAGTAGTTACTCTGATGAAAAGCTTCCCTTACATATTCAGATGGCAAATCGTCTCCTCCTCTGCAAGAGGCATTTTCTCTTCAGACCTCAAGTGAAATAGGCAGGGCACCTCCACTTTTACAAAGGATATCTTCACAAATGAGCAGACAGTGAAAAAAAATACTACCGATTGGTTCACACCCAATTGAATTTTTGCATTCCTAAAACGGTGGGTGGTTTTGTTTTGACAAAAACATTGACATTCAGGTTGCTCTTAAACTGCTCTGAAGACATCTTTGGTGTGTTGAGATAGTCTTACCTCAAGATTAACTTTCTAGCTTTTTGAGCCCCAAATCCAAACCAATTTACCTGAAAATGTCTGCTTGCCTACAGGCTTGTCAAGAGCTCAGCTTGCCTGCTAAAGGATGCTTGGGGGACAGAGGGACACTTACCTTATCAATTTTTTTCTGGTAATTCTTAGGTGAATAATTACAGAGATAACTAACTGGTTTCCAGTTTAAGAAATCCCACTAATGGAAGTCCTATCCTGGAAATTTGTACAGCAATGTGTCTAGTAAGGAAACCTGCAGGCCCATTCTACTTTTATTAAATTATTCAGGAAAATATTTTGATCCCCAAAGGAAGTCTCTTGAGACCCAAACCTGAACCCCTATTTTGGGGGTAGGTAAAATCTCTCCACCTCCAATCTATCACCACAAAGTGTTTAAATCAGTTGTAAGTTTTATTAAAAAATAAGCACTATGCTTGGGTTTCATAAAATTCATACACGAATATGTACACAGACACAAATAAAATAATATTAAAAATAAAAATCACACTTGCTTTCCAGTGGCAGTGGTCCTGGCACCCCACACACATAATAATGCTAACTTTTCCTGTAAAGAGATTACTTGGCCCAAGGAGACCACAGTTAGAGAACCGCTAATAAAGCTGTAGCCCGTTGCCTGCAACATTTTCAATTCAGGTCTCAAAAATATATAAATAATTTAATTACAAAACCCAACAACATTTTTTTCCCTTTTGGCACAGTGAAGCATTGGTCGACAGTAGAGAAATGACCTAAGATTCTCTGACACCTTTCTCGCACGCAGTCATGCCTGTAAATGCCACATACGTACACGACGGGGCCCAGTAAACCCCAAACAGTAGTCATATCATTTATCGTATGGAATGGTTCCCTGATGCACTTTTTTGGGGAGGAGGGGGATAAATCAACGAAAGGTGCGACAAAAACAGCAGGAATAAAGGGATCTTGGGCGGTAAGGAGAGAGAAAAATCTTTATGAAGGGAGGGGGAACAGGCTTGGCCAAGAAACTAAAACAATCAGAACTGCTTTGGTCCTCTGTAAAGCTATAAAAGTTGAAGGAAAATATTCTGGACTAAGTTAAAACATTCCTGTGAAAATGCTTTAGCTTTAAGGCACGCTGGATGGAGATTTTTTTCTAAAAGTCCCTTTTGCTCTGGGTAGAAAGTGCAAAGCCCGGGAGCCTGCGTCCCCCGGCTCCCCGACGGCGCCACCCCTGCGCGACCCAGCGGCCCGGCGCGGCTCAGGCCAGGAGCGTCTCCACCGGGTAGGGCAGGTGCCCGCCCGGGCCGCGGGCCGAGGCCGCCTGCAGGGGCGCGGGCAGCCGCAGGGGGCAGTACGCGTGCGCGCCGCCGCCGGCCGCCGGGCCCCGGAACGGCTTGGCGGGGGCCGG